GAGCAGGAAAACTTACGTTATCGGCTCTGGTTACACAGTGCGGATCCTGATTCACTGAAGGCTAAGGTGTTCTCCTGAAGGCATTGCCGACTGAGACAATATCTTCCATATTTTGCTCTGCACATTATCCATAAATGTATTTGCAACAAAGCCCGAGAAATCCACTACGAGTGAAAGCTGATCCAAAAGCAAACCCGAATCCACGAAGCAGAAAATGTGATCACCAAGCTGTTTTCCTTCTCCTCGGTATGCTTAGAGCTTGGAATGGCACTGTCTATGGCATCCAGGTTACAACTGTTCGATGATCTGCATAGTCTGGTTGTATCCTGATTGCCAAATATTCACCTCATGATGAATGATTGCCACACATCCCTTGCTTTGCCAATGACGCCACTCGTTAGTCTTTGAAGTGATTGTGGGACCCAAAATTGTATGAGGCGTGATCTATACTAACGTCTGATGAGCACAAGATTGCCTTCCATATGGTTCTATGCTATCTATCGAGATCATATTACTATGTGCATTAACGATAAGTCTCGGTGTAGTAAAGTTCGCGATGTATTGGCATTGCTGATCATCGGTCTGCAAGGGGTGATAAATCAATTCCGCGGCTCTTCTTTATTATGTCAAAATAGGTCTTTGCACCAAGTCGGAGGTTATGGGAAAAAGAAATCATCTGCAAAATGGTGAATTACTTCTCATATGCTAACTTCTGAGCCCTGCAGATACGCTAGACTATGTGAGCTACGCTTTTGGCTTGGATCTCATTTTCAAGGTGCTCCTTTTTCTAAGACGGACGGGATCAGTCAATATGCTGAGAGCGAAATTCGGAATTCTTTATTGGAAGCTTGTTAAGCAGACAGCAGTCTCGAACTGTATGGCCTTTCTTAACTAATGGTCTGTGCATGAATCGCTTCTTCCCCTGTGATTATACTAGCGCAGTTGTGTCTGTATACAGAAGAATGACTAAGCAGTATCGGGCCGATGACTCCGACATGCATGGAATGTGCCGCTGTGAATGAGTCAATCAATTGTGTCGCGCTGGTATAGTTAGTTATCCATCAACCGCTTCCCTCATACAGAATAACAACCTCAAAGAATCAATGCATTCCGAAACGCCATCCTGGCAGAAGGCAGCCCAGGCTAAACGCCAGGCTATTCTGGATGCAATTCCCCAGAAATGGAGAATCCAGTATGACACGCTGCCTATTGATGTCACGGGTGAATTTATCCAGGGGTACTTGACCCCCCGTGAGATAGAGATTACTGAAGCAGATGCTGTTGTGATCACAAGTCAAACCACCTCAGGCAGTTGGAGTGCTGTCGAAGTGACGGAAGCTTTCTGTCATAGAGCTGCTATTGCTCATCAACTTGTATGTTGTCCAGCCATCGATGTTATTACTTTGAGGTGCATCGCGTCTGTTGACTTCAGTGTAGGTGAATTGTCTACATGAGGTATTCTTCGAAGATGCCATTCGTGTTGCCAAGGAACTCGACGAGCATTTGGCAGCGACAGGAAAACCAAAAGGCCCGTTGCATGGACTTCCAGTAAGTCTGAAGGACCAATTCCATGTCAAAGGTGTCGACACAACTATGGGCTACGTGGGCTGGATCGGCACCTATCAAGGCAAGAAAGATGACCCCCGCCATAGGGTGACAGAGAGTGAACTCGTACGGGAACTTCGCAATCTCGGAGCTGTGTTGTTTTGTAAAACCAGTGTTCCCGTCACACTCATGTCAGGAGAGACAACAAACCAAATCATTGGTTATACATGGAACCCCAAGAATCGCAATCTATCGAGTGGTGGAAGTTCTGGTGGAGAAGGGGCTCTACTTGCTCTCCGCGGTTCACCGGCGGGTTTCGGTACCGATATTGGTGGTAGTGTTCGGATACCTGCTTCTTTCAACGGGATCTTTGGGCTGCGTCCTTGTGCAGGAAGAATTCCGTATGAAGGCGCGGCGAACTCTATTGACGGCCAAAACACCATTTTGTCGGTAATTGGCCCGTTGGCCACAAGTATTGGGGGATTGAAGTTACTTTTCAGAGCCATTCTCTCCCAGGAGCCATGGCAGTACGACCCTCTCTCTTTGCCGTTGCCATGGAGAGAGGATATCGAGGGTCAAACGAAAAAGTTGATTACGCAGAAGGATAGTACCGCTTCTCAACTCACGTTTGGTATCATGCGACATGATGGACGTGTCAAGCCCCAACCGTCTGTGAAGGTGGCTATGGATCTCATGGAACGCATTTTGAGGGACTTGGGCCACCAGGTAATCAGAGATGAAAAACCTTTTTGCTGCACTGATCTAACACGCGTATTAGGTCATAGAATGGGACCCTAAGTTGTGCCGCGAAGGACAAGAAATTGCGGTACGTCAAAGTCTGGCATACATAGCGAGGATAGTGTGCTGATGCTCCGCAGAGCGAAACCTACGATATGGACGGTGGCGAAGACCTTCTGAGTCACATTGCCTTGTCAGGAGAGGCACAAATCCCTCAGTGCTCTGTTGAACCAGTGAAGCACTTCAATGCTAGAGAGGTGGCGGAACTCAACGTGCAGAAAAGGGAATACCAAAAGAAGTATCTGGACTACTGGAACAGCACGGCCAAGTTAACCACAACTGGAAGGCCAGTTGATGCTGTCATCTGCCCAACCGCGCCTCATGCAGCTGTAATCCCGGGAAAATACCGCCATACTGGGTATACTACGTTTATCAACACTCTGGATTATACGAGCTTGGTAGTTCCTATATGCTGTGCTGACAAGCATCTTTCGTCCATGAACGAACGGTCAGAGTTTCTGAATGAGTTGGATCGGAAGATCTACGAAGAGTGTAAGTAGGCCTTTTCTCGTCCATCTTAAGCGAATCCTGACATTATTAGACGATCCGGAAATCTACCACGGAGCACCCATTGGACTACAATTATTCGGCAGGCGGTTGGAAGAAGAAAAGATCATCATGATCGCTGAATATCTTTCCGAAAAAGTCAAAGTTTATACCGGACAATGAGAACTGGAGACTTCGTCCACAGATCCGGAATCAATCATTCGACGACTGCTTGGTTAGGTCCAACCTACTCAGGACGTACACCATGTGCAAAAAGCACGCTTTCGTTGGCATTGATGAGAATATAGCGTCGAATTACTGATTGCGAATTGTATATAATGGCTTTAGTCATAGTCAAATCTAAGTCAGCCTATATCGCCTTCACCCCGAAGACGCCCAGAATGATAGCACCTTCGGAGTTGAGGATCAGGACAAACCTCAAATAAGGACAGGCCGCTGGATATCTATTCACCTATTCACGGCAGCCCGCCAACGAAATAACTAACCGACCCCGATGTGCTAACGGTACGGTAGATAATGTCTTCGTAGTTCGTGCTCAATATTGTGGTCTCGGCAACCAATTCTGCCATTTAATAGTTATACCAAGGCAACCTTTAGATCTACTGCGGGCCAGCATGAAGTGGATATCAGCGCAGTCTGTGCTATTGAGAAGTGCAGCCGAGGAGCGCATTGAAGGTGATGGCTGTCACAGTCCAGGACAACATGACGAACGTTGGTATTCCGAGGAACGAGAGCTACCTGATGCAGATGGTAATGAGGATGCCTAGAGATGTAGTAGGTGGGTCCTAAAAACTATGCTCAAGTTGGGATGACAATTGCCGTGTGTCAGTCTTTTCCCTTATACCCAGAGGTATTCCATGGAATGTCCACTAGCTTTCGAAGATACGATATCCGTCTCCCTTGACTGGATGGATAAAACTATTTGCAATTTATTTGATACTACACTAGTTCATTCTGACTACAGTCATGTTTGGCTGGTATTCCCTCAGAGCTTATTACTGAACTTGTGCAAATCAATATATTGCCTGATGCAAAAAAGTTGAAGCGTAGCAGCGGAAAAGGACCGAGCCTTGGGAATCACCTAGCATCTATAACCTTCCTCTTACCATTAATTTTCTTATGGGGCAAGCTTGTACATATTAAGGGTGGCCTACTACGTGGCTCTGCTGGAACCATTTTGCACAACTAATAGATGCGAGTAATTGCACCTACTTTGGTCTCTTCCACAAAGTATCTCAGGAAATGCAACCTGCAACGATGCTCGACCGCAATCCCAGGCAGCCATCTCTGCTCTACAGGGATCACCTTTAGTTGTTCGGTCCACGCTTGAAAATTTAGTGACCTCACTCTAAGCTGCAGTGGCAGACTGTCAGGGAAAATAAACGCTTGTATGCTTTTGCCACGGCTCAAAACACATGACACTCCCCACAAAGGAATGAAGCTGCATGTCAATAGAGTACTTCTACGATAGGTGCCACCGGCCACTGCTGCCTATATACATTGGTTTCCCCACCTTGTGGACACGCAAACTTAATTTATACCTTTTCTCCATTTGGCACTGCTTATCTTTAGTTGGTGGAAAGATAAGATGATACAAGGTTAGATTAAGTGATGGGCCATCATCTCCCCTCACCCGCAAGAACTTCGGGTCAACTCATAAGTGTGTGGCTGTGCTGTTGGAGCTGTAACAGTTGATGGCCCGAGTATTCTATATGGCATATGAATACTATACGTGCCCTTAGGCTGTGGTGATAGCCACCTGTTTACCATCCAAATCCAGACACCATTTGCATAACACTGTACGTTGATTTGGGTCTGCCTGCTGGTTAGTAGTGATTGAAAAGATATGATCATGGTGTGTGGTGTGGACCTGGGCCCTTTCCCGGACGAAGCTTAAACGAAAATGGAGAACCAGCAAAGTCCGACATCCAGGGATGGATATTAGCCCCGAACCATGACACATAGTTGGAGGCCCTGAACCCACGGTACATTTCCTACAACTCTGTTTCTTTGACTACCTAGCAACCCTTCTGCACCATTGCGGATGTGATCAGCGCTTGCTGACGCGTTCTCTCATTAATTCTTGACGCGCTAAGGTCCAGATGCCCTGCTGAAGAACTGCAGTCTCCAATTTGATACTGAGTTCGAGCATGAATTTGGCTGAGCAGTATCTCTTCAGAGGAGGGAAATTTCAGTACTCACCGGAAGGTCTGGACTTCACCAAGATAGCTGTAACAATCAGCCCACGTTTCTCCGACATCGTGTTGACATTCCTGCTCAGTCAGTTCGTAGGAGTTCAGGCAGGGAAGAAATTATATAAACTCCCATCTACCCTCCAGCTTTTCATTCAAAATATCCTACACCCAATTGTCTTGTTTCTCGTCGACTAGAAAATCTCACCCGCCGCCATATTCAAAAACATCGTCACCGCAGCTCTTCTCTCCTCTGCTCTCGCCAGTGCCTCCACTGCGCACGCAAATGGCAAAGCCCCCTGTGCAAAGGTGCACATGATGCTTGCCCGCGGAACTACTGAAAGCTATCCTGGTCTGCTCGGGTCTTTGACTGACCTGGTCATGGATGCTATTCCGGACAGCGATTATGAGAATATCATCTATCCTGCCACTCAGGAAGGATAGACCCCCAGCTATGAGGAGGGCATCTACAATGGCACTGCTCAGCTGAAGGCTTATGTCAAGGCTTGTCCGGAAACCAAGGTGGTGCTCTTCGGATATTCTCAGGTAGGTCCATGTTCCTGGCATTATGCTTGAAAGAGTATCTTACTGACGCCCTTATAGGGAGCCATGGTTGTGAGCGACATGTTGGCCGGTGGCGGTGATAACGGAACCTTGGGAAATATCACTGCTCCTGCTGTTGATCCTGAAACCGGATCCCACAGTAAGTGACTAACCTGGATGTACGTCAACAAGCTCAATGCTAATTATCGCTAGTCGCCGCTGTCCTTCTTTACGGAGACCCCCGTCACATGCCCAACCAGACGTACAACGTCGGTGATGTGACCGCTACTGGCGTAAGTTATAACCATAACGAATTGGAGGGTATATCAGCTAATGATAATCTACCTCGAACAGAAATACCCCCGCACTCCCGAGCAACTCGCAGCCCTGTCGATGTACGCCGACAGACTCCACGACTACTGCGACGACAAGGATGGCGTTTGCGATGCTGCCGGAACTAACCTCTCCGCTCATCTGGCGTATGCTACCATCTGGGACAAGGTCGCTGCTACTTGGGTTGAGAGCATGATGCAGAAATAAGCTTTAGCTTGATTCGTGAACACGCGATACCGCTAAGGGGTTGTGTTCACCGGGGCCTGGGGCCGAGAATTTTCTTCAGGGGGTGATTAGGTTTCGTTCTTGTAATATAGCAGATTTGCACTTCGTGACATAATGGCAATGTATTATATGTTATTATACTGTCAATATCTAGCTTACAGACCATAACACAGGCTTCTTAGTCCTAAGTCAAATGGAACACGGGGTGCTAACGTACATGCCTTGTTGAATGGCTAGGTGAAAACATGATTCGTTGTTCAGGCACTGCTGTGAACTAGTCCACTGGTCGGACTACAGATGGCCGCGAGCTAAGCCAGTGACTGTGTAGCGTTGCCTCTGACTATCTCTGGAAGTGGGATAGACGCGCAGATGATTAGTGTCCACATATTGGAGGCGAGTTCCGAAACCGAATGCCGAACGCCCCGTCTCCACTTTATTCCTAGGGACCGTCCCGTCTTCCTAACAAGTATTGGGTTGCCACATCAGGACGAGTCAGAAGATACTTGAATTTGGCTAAAGCTAATGAAATATAAAATTTCAGGCCTAGATAGAGAAGACGATCTCCATTGAGCACAATATCAGCATAGTATAACCAGGTATTGCTGGATCTGCCCCTTGGTCCGAATGTCAATTACTTAGTGTGCCATTTAGTCAGTTTACCCAATTGCTTGACCACTAGTGTTACAATGATCAGGGATTCCACAAAGTAGAGTTGAACATGTTAGATATGTCGGTCGTAGGTGGCATGTACGTTCCAAGTAATGTTTGGAGCGGGTCTTCAGGATAAAATAGTTCGTCTGGTCCAGTGGCTGAGAAAGCTTCGATGTCCGGGAGAATGAAAGACTCTTCATTCTGTGTGGAAGTCAAGTCAGCGAGTGACGTGGAATGAAGAGTATATTGGAAACATACCGTTACCTGGTTCGGATCCAGAGCAAATCCGGAGGAGTCGTTCTTCTCGCCTGTCATTGGTACTGTATTATCTGCCTCGAGGCGTGAAGTCCTTCGTGAGTCTGTGGTCTGCAGCCTAGCTTGTACATCCCGCACAAATTGACGAGCAATGTGAGAAAACTCAGCAGCAGTTGATGCCGGTAAAGAGTCCCTGTTACTGATTTCCCAACGGCTGAAATAACCGGCTGCTATGTCCAAGAACGAGATATTGGTGGCCGTCTCTTTGTGGAATGGGTTATGAATGACAAAGTCAAAGATAACAAAGAGAGCGGAAATAGGCACGATGCCTAGTTGCCTGTTACAATTAGGATTTGTGAGAACATGGACCCGGACGCTATCTCTTACCAGGCTGGAACGTGCGCCTCATGCTCAATATAACGCGTATGATATATAACAGCTCGAGCGGTCTCCATCAGTTGACGCTTGGTCTCTTGATTTGTCTCATTCGGTTGGTCGACTGTAAGATGGATCCGAAGCCTGCACATAGACATAACCAAAGCATAGTATATGAACCGCATTTGCAGCGCCATATCTTGCGCGCAGGGGCTCTTGCCCTTTGAGAAGCGAAGTGGGGTCCCAGGCTGATAGGGTTCGGGGAGAGTTTGAATCCAAGCTTCTAGCTCGCGGGACATCGAGTCTACAGCCGCGATGCGGGCAGCTGTGTGCATCTGCACTGCACTCACGGAAAATAGACATTCGTAAGTGCGAGACATCAGGCGACCCAAGCGCGCTGTCGTTAATAGCCAATCAAGCTGTCCCGGGGCAGTCTCGGGACATGCTGGAACAGGACAGCCTATGTCATAGTCGGGTATCATCTACAACTCTCATTAGTTAAGAAGGCATCGGAATGTAAGTACTCTTACAGAACCACGTCCTCGGAAAAAGGAAGTAACTTTTTCCAGCCAATATATAACCCAGAAAGCTCTATGACACAATGATTCATTCTCTGTTTGAACGTATGCGGCGTTATATCCCTGCAATTGAACTATTCTCGCGGCCTCGGACATCAAGGTCTCGCCGATCGGAATACAGGAGAAGCTCATTGTGAAGACTGCCTATGATTTAATCAGCGAAATGAATGATGTTTGCATTACCTTCTCGGCTCACCATGGCTGCCAGTGCCTAATGGGGCTGTTAGCTTAGATCCAGGATAGGGTGAAGAATACGCACTTGGACATGAAGTAAAGTTTGAGGTGGAGCAAGTATTCTTGGGAACAGGCTCAATGCAAGCTGAAAGTAATTCCATGCTTTCCCTTTGCCTGGAACAAAAGATCCACCATCCATATACTGGCATCCAAGTGCCAGCAAAGTATGATATAGCGCACAGAATGGCGCATTATTTGCTAGTAACTCCGGTAATTCTGGCCCCGAGATTCTCCGCTCAAAGTCGGCTCGGTCCAGAAAGGGTGTCAAGGGATGTAAGTCATCAAAATAAACTGATTCTACGAGTTAGACCTTTGACCCACAGCAACAAAGATAAGCATCTGACCTTTGATATAATGAGCTGCCTCCTCGTGGGAGATTTTAATTGGTGATGCGGGAGTGTTGAAATCGATGCTGATACCATGTGCATGCTGATGCATAGCTTCTCCCATAGCATCGAGGACATCTCTCAATCTGCCGTGACCAAGCATATTGGTCAGGGAGTGGATGTGGCTCTCCGAAAAGAAGGCCATGCCAGTACTGAGGACTGACCCAGAAGTGAGCGGGTGCTATGACAATGGGAGTAGATGGCTGACTACCTTGGTTTTCACGAGTCTGTGCATATTAGTTATAATCGGAACAGAAGCAGAAGCAGAAGCACCTCACCTTGAAGATGGAGCATGCCTCGCGATTCCTGCCATCAGCATTCTTATCGACGAGAATTTGATCAACATAAGATGCCGAGGCATCCGTGGACACAGATGCAGCTGAGGACGCATTGTGATTTGATGGAGGTACAGTTGCTACTCAAATTTATATCAGCATCGAAAACGAGGCCTCGACTAATCATGTCATGTACCTGGACTTAAGGTGTCTTCTGACTTCTTTGGCCTCAATTGTCTGCGTGTCAGGCTGTAGTGACAATCAACTTTGCGTTTCTATCAAACCTCAAGGTTCATAAGCGTCATATTGATCACATCTTTCTGGAAACCCGAGCACACCGCTGAACCCACCTGGCAAGGGGTGCAGACTGCGCTGCTTGAAGGGCCTACCGCGCAGGATTAGCCGGCTGCCCAGGCTACGGTCGTCAACTGGAGACAGGTATGTGACATAAGGGGAATAAATTTGTAAAAAGAATTAGCAAGCGGGGACAGAGCTGGACTCACGTATGCAGCGAGTTTTCCTTGCCTTGCAATTGTCGCAAGACTTAGCAACGCGGGGTTGAAGCCTGTCAGTCATTGTTGCGCCTCGGGTTACGGAAGTTGCAGGACGAAGACCGATGATGGCACCACTCTACCGCACTCAGAGCCAAAGATGGCAGCCCGGGAGCCCTCATCACGTGACGCAGGCTTTCGAAAATCGACCCACCACGCATTTCGGCTCTCGATTCGAAGTCCGGCCGAACGGATTTGAACAAAAAAGAAAAGAATAGAAAAGAAAGAAAAAGAAAAAAAATCATGGTAGTAAATTCCGGAGCTGGATTAGTACCATTGTCTTGGTGTTTCCTTCGAAAAGGGCATGCCAAGTCAGTGTTTGCCGCAAGACGTTATCCCGCAACTAATATGCGATAGAATATACTACCGGATAGCCACAATAGCGAGACTCCACGTTCTACATCCCAAACTTCGAACCTACTTCCTCTGAATGGCTCCGAGTGATATTGCCTTACAGCAGAAGACTGGCTTATGATATTACAGCAGCTGTTACTGTAGTCGTGGCCGGGGGTGTCGAGGTGTTTCGTCGGTTTGCGATCATAGACCTCTAGATCGGACTTATTCGGGCGTGCAAGGGACTGTACAAAAGCACTGCTAAATAATTCCATAATTTACAGGTATGAAACCAGACTGAAGCTTGACTCTGCCAACTCTCTAACACATCCAAACCAACTTATGGCAGGAACAATAAGAATTACTAAGTCTATTATAACATTGACGCCAAGCGATGTGCATCGTCAGAAAGGCCAGGTGCCGCCTAATCTCATTATAACACCCATCGAGACGATAAAAAAGGAAAGGTCGCTACTCCGACCCGCGAACGCGAATTACCAGCTTCCCTATTCCCCCCCGACCGCTGTACACAGTCCCACAAGCCTTTCTCACGGCTTCAATATCTTGCAAGTCAACGACTGATCCCACCACTGTTTTGAGTCTCCCGTCTTCGACATATCGCCTGAGTTCGTCCAAATCCTTACCAGACGATACAAGAAACATGTAGGAATACTCCGTCTTGTAACGGCGTGCTCTGACCTTTCGAACCTGATCAGCGAGATTGAGTCCCATCCGAAAGGCGAACGGAATAGTGGGTTTGTGAGGCAGGTCCATGAGAGGTGAAGCCTGTAGCTGATTTCCAGAAGGTAGAGTAGAGACTGATACAATACGGCTTGATCCTGGCCGCATCAGACACAATAGCTCCATAGAAAGGCCAACGGTGTCAAAGAGAAAGTCGATTGTCCCATGTTCAATCACATCCCTGGGGTCGGAATTCGTATAGTCGATAACTATAGACGTTTAGAGAATGATGAAGAGATGGCAATGGACTGTAGGCTCTTACCCTGATCGATAGTGTTTTCACCCAGGAGTTCTTTTAATTTCGGGATTTTCGCAGTCGAGACTGTAGTGATGACCTTACCCGCATGGAATACATGCTTGGCAAGTTGACATGCAAACAAGCCCGTACCGCTCACTATATTTCATTAGCCCATTTAGCAGTCTATGAGACTGATAGGGTGTCGAACATCCGGCAGGCACAAAGACAGTTTTTCCGGCAAGGTCGCCACGGTATAGCCGAAGAGCTTGGAGGGAAGTCATCGCTGCTAATGGAATTGAGGCTGCTTCTTCAAAAGACAGCGACGGCGGCTTAAGACCGATATGTTCCTCAGAGCATTTGATAATTTCGCTGCATGATCCTGTGTTTCGCTTTCAGTAAGTTGAGCATAGAAGATCGAGTACCAAACACTTACCCCGGGAAACTTCAGGGAGTCTAATATACACAGCGTCTCCGACCTTGAACTTTTTCACGGCTCGCCCAGTTTCTTGAACAACGCCGGCACAATCATAACCAATTTTGTAGGGAAAGCTGACTGTATTAGCACCATCTTGATTGATGGCAAAGGCTTATACTCACGGGTCTTTCACAGCAAGTCTCAATGCGCCATCGGCTCTCTTGACGTCAATAGGATTGATGCTAGCGGCGTATACCTTGACTATCACATCCTTTGGGTTGACTAGAGTTGGGGTGGGCAATTTTGAGACTTGATACTCAGATGGTTTCGAGTAGGATGATATATTTAGGGACAACATTTCCATATTGAGTATTACTAGTGGAGGTGTAACAGTAAATGGCAGAAGGAAAGGGGATGAAATAAAGGCAGTTTAAACTGCGTACTGCCAAGTGTACAAATAGTGCGCAAGCATGAAGGGGACCGAGGCCATATATAATTACTATATGTTCCTTTTGAACGGTTCTCAGGAAGATTCACGACGGAGCAACAATCGTTCCGAATGACATGGAAATCCTATTCCCATGTCCAGTCGTCATTACGAGAGTTGGAAAAGGGTCCAAGTGGACTCGCAAGCCTGCCTCAATGTGGTTAAGCCCACTGCGGTACCAAGGTGATGTACCCGCATGCCCACTGGACCCGCACACTATGAGATATCCGAAGTATGGTTCCCGTCGCTCACATAATGCGTGTCTGCCAGTGGCGAAGCTGATTTATAATGTCAGAGGTAAAGTCTGAATTTGAAAGTCACAATCCCGTATATGGTCCTGTCTGGTAGATTCTATAACTGCACAGGCCAGCCCATGTTTGTTTCCTTGGGGTTGCTTATGCTATAGTAATCGTCTATGTCGTCGGGAGTATTTTCCTGGATCCACCCTGCCTTCATTTCTCCTCCAGGACTAATGAACATCGAAAGGAAAAAAAAAGAAAGAAAGACATAATTAAAAGTTACTATGGAATTTTTTTTTTGAAATGCGTTCATTGTATACCCTCGCGAGCTAGCCAATGGTAGCTTCATATGCCAATGTAGAATGTTATCGATGTTCTCCTTGATAGAGCCAGCATTTTCAAGAAGCTAGATTGGCACATGAAAAAGACGCTATCCCAAAGTATCACATACCAAAGCCATTGAACTTAAGATTTAATAAAGTCCAGCAGGTCTTGATTGACTTCATCAACATTAATATTGTGAATGGCATGAGATCCGCCTTTGTAGATCTTCAGTTTTCCTTGAGGAAGAAGTTTTGCTGACTTCAGCCCCGCTGCCTCAATGGGAACCACCTGATCGTCGTCCCCATGTAGAACTAGTACTGGTATATTGATTCTCTTCAGATCTTCCGAGAAGTCCGTTTCAGAAAAATCCTTGATCGAGTCATACGCGGACTTGAAGCTGGTGTTCATCCCCTGCTGCCACCAGCTACGAATCTGTCCTTCGCTTTTCTTTGCTCCAGGTCGGTTGAAACCGAAGAATGGTCCGCTGGGAACATCCAAAAAGAACTGCGCGCGGTCTTGACGCATGGCCTGCCGGAAAGAATCGAAAACCGACTTATCTGTTCCTTCCGGGTTGCCGCTACTCTTCACCATCAGAGGAGGTACGGCGCCGATCAAAACAGCCTTTTTAAAGCGCTTAGTGCCGTGTTTTCCAAGATAATGGGTGGCCTCTCCTCCTCCATGAGAATGTCCAACCATGACCGCATCTTGCACCTTGAGATGCCCGAAAAGCTCCTCTAAGTCGTCGACAAAGGTGTCCATGTTGTTTCCGTCCCAGGTCTGAGTTGATCGTCCATGGCCACGGCGATCGTGCGCAATAACCCTGTACCCATGTTCACCGAGGTACATCATTTGTTGTTCCCAGTTGTCACTGCTCAAGGGCCAGCCGTGGGAGAAGGTTACGATTGGTCCTCTGGGATTTCCCCAATCCTTGTAGAAGAGTTCTGCTCCATCACGAAGCTTCAGGTGCGGCATGTTTGTGAGAAGTAATGGGAGTAAAAATAGGCAATTTGGACAGACTTTCAATGTCTGAAACTATCTGACTCTTATGGATTGACACGCTGGATTGTGTATGTGCAAATTCGCAGCTTTATAAAATCAGCTGCCCAGCTATACTGGCCTAGAATTGGTGAGCTGTAACTTCCTCCCGTACGTCGTCATGACGTTACTAGGCTATTGTGGCTTCCCAATGTCACACTCACTGTAATGCGCTCCATGATACAAGGTTTGTCGGCCCGCTGCCTCTTATTCTCTCACCAAGTCTTAAGGTGTCTAGTCTTTACCTGCCAAAATGCGAAAGCTTATTTAGTGGGCCTGTTGAGGATCCAGCCGTTCTTTCCGCCAAGACAGAGTTGCCTAGAACGTTAGCCCACGTACAGCTACTGACCTTCTTCCTGTTTCCATGCCATGACAAATGAATATCCAGTACCCAGAAAGTCCCTTCATATGTGCCGCCGGCATGATGTTGCTCCGTTGTCATGCTTATCGGAACTATCAAACTCAGTTCCATAATTATATCGGGCCTCGGTAGTATTCTGCTTGATTTTACCCATCGTCCGCCTCAGTGTTCCTCACATGCCAGCTTTATCATCGCAAGTCCACCCACAACCGACCTCCGAGATGGTCATAGGGGCGGGGAGGGATCCCAAGGCATATATCAACCAGGCTGTAACCACCTACATCAACCAGCGCCGAGTATTGAAATCATCAGATCCTGGTCTAGCGTTCGACCTACCGGTAACATCATGTCTTCGACATCAGACCGCTTTTCAGCAGCATCAGAAAAATTCACCACAACGTATGTGAATCAAACATCCCTTTTTCCGAAGCAGTAATGACTCCTATCTGAGGGTAGACGCTCGGCATCACAAACTGTTCAGGTCGAATTCGGAGGTCAGAAGGTCGATATACCCAAAGGAGGTTACTATGACCGCTACCGTATGAACCCGAACCTCGATGAGGTATCCCAGGACCCGAATGTCGGACACGATATTACATTCCTGCGGAAAATCCCTAAGAAACTGGTTGATTCGAGGGTCGGTCAAGTATATGCACCCAATTTCTACTATCGCACTAGCAGCGTTCAGCTCGTCATGCTCGCGCCTCTTGACCACTTGAAGTCTAAGCTTCCGCCACCTTTGGAGCCCATCACAGCATTGCCTGGCTACGGTTTAGTTGCATTGACATTTTATTCGTATCTGGTCTGCGATAATGATCCTTACAACGAGGTCTCAATCGCCATTATCATTCGACAACCGGGTAGCACGAGTTACAGTTCCACACAACTTCTCAGCTCTATATGGAACCGCACATTCTACGGCTATGTCTTGGCTCTTCCAGTCGATACCGAGATTGCTCGGGTGAGGGGAATATATGGATATCAACTCCCTAAGTGGATGGCCAACATTAACCTAAACATGGACAATCACAACATCAAGGCCGACATTAGCGCGACCAACGGAACACTAGATCTGACACTGGATGTACCCCTTCCAGCTTTGAGGACCATTCCGTCAGAATCACGAATTGGGACTAATAACGCGGTCAACAAGATTGACGGGAAATGGTACCAGGTGGCTGTTCAGACGAACCCCCTTTTGGCGACACAGTGTCTTTTCCCTACCAATGTCAAGCTCGCTCGGAACGAAGGTCCGTTGAGTCAACTCCTCAACGAGCTGGGCGTCTCGACCATTGTGCGGATGGATGTTATTAAGGATGCGCAGATGGTCTTGAATATGCCCACTCCCTTGAAGGTTTTTAACAGGGTTGGATCATTAGCTTAGCAGCAACGTTTTGACGAAGGATTAAATATTTGAGATGTCATTCTTTCATATCGAGCTAAACAATATATTTTAAACGGTTCAAAAATCACTAGCTTCCATATGGTTCAAGTGCAGATTGATTGGTACGTCGAGAGTCTCACAACAGAATCGACCGGAAGAGTATCGTTCTGAAGCATATGTTAATACCGACCAGGCCACCTGGAAGCACATATGACATGCCCCTTGCTACTGCCCCTGGGACGTGCTACAAGCCAGGTAATAAAAGCTCGTTGCAAAGGCCTTCCTGCAACTCTACAACGTCCTGGCTTCTAGAATCAGGTCCCATTTTTGCTAGGGAAAACTTGAAAAGCCACTGCAATATTCCAAAAGTCTACCTACTGACTGTCCTCAGATCTGCTTGCACTTGCTGATTTGCATACGCTCAGACGTGAAGAAAATCGGCGAGTTAGTGTGTGGATTACCACCCCCGCATTTCACTGCAACCTACTACCATCATTGTGGAATTCGACACGGAGCATGTTCAAGAGATCTGCCAGATGTGCTGCCCGTTCATGATGGTTGGTGCACTCCGTCGCTCCTCCGCCGCCACAAACAGCCCCCGCCAATCACAGCCCTGGAGTAGATTAATCGGGAATATTTGGAGTAGGCTGCATACAACTAGCACGCCAGCGCGCGAGCGGGGTTAACTGTTAGCTTCTCAGTCCAGACTTGAAAGCAATCTTCGGGAAATCTGGGGTAGCCAAGGTCGACCAATTTCAGACCAGCAATGTCATGTCATAAGGATCAGTGCTTCCTCCAATGCTTCAGTGCGTGATTGTTGAGTACACAGATAGGATCTGTTGACTACTTTCCCATTTCTTGCCATAATAGGGACAGTTATGGATGGGTATCATCTCCTGCAGGCCAGAGCGGAATTCCAGCCCAGTCCGACCAGAAGACTGTGCAGGGACGTATGACCTCTCCTGCAGTCAGCCACAAGCGCTGCGTCCCTGAAGACAGGGCACCTTGAATATGATCCCGAGGTTGACATGTGAGGAATGCGGTACAGCAACAGCAGGGTCAAGAGCGGTTGCACCGATGGCGGCCCTGTGGCCGAAATTGTGACATCGTGGGTTGGAATAGCGACACAAGCATCCGTGGCTATTTTGTATTAGTGGTGCATCATCTCCGCGTTGAAAGGAGCGTGAGGGACAGCAAAACCACTTCCTGGAGCTATATAAAGGCCCATATTGCCTGACATTGTGACACGAAATCAACAAGTTCACTCAAGACATCACCCATCTGTCTTACCATCTCTCTCCATCATGATTTGCAATTCCTTCCTCGTCGTCGCCTTGGGTCTTGGTCTTGTCCAAGCAGGCCCTATCGCTAAACGCGATGCTGCGACCGTACTGTCGGATCTTGAGTCTATTGGAACAGACGTTACTACCCTCAAGACGGACGTAACCAACTGGACCGGAGACCTTCTGGCAGCTCTAGGCATTTTGTCCGATTACAACACCGTCAAAAGTGCTTTGGAGACAGCCATCACTGA